CTAATTTTCTAAATTTTTTTAACAGATACTAGCCAGTTCACACTATAGCCATCACACACACACACACACACACGCATACGTGTGTGTGTGTGTGTGTATGCCTATACATACATTTCATCTACTACAGAAAACGGCTAAAATTTGCACACTCATCCTCTTCACTGATGCCTATATCTTTACCTCTAAAGAAAGGGTATCCCCAATAGATAAGTGGCCAAAGGACATGAACAGGTAATTCTCAATTAAAGAAAAGCAAGCTATCAACAAATCATATGAAGAATTCTCCAAATAACTAATTCTAAAAGAAATGCACAATGAAGCAACTCCGACTTCTACCTCATACCTAACAGACTGGCAAAAAGGAAAAAAAGGCAAAATGATCACTGTTGCAGGGACTAAGAGGGAACAGGCACATTAATGCACTGTTGGTGGAGCTGTGACTCCTCATTATATAAAACAATTTGGAACTCTACACAAAAAGTTGCTAATTCTGCATAGTTTAGCTTAGAATATATTACTTAGTATATATCCAGAAAAGATAAAACAAAGAGGCAAAGGATCCACATATGCAAAAGCACTGATAGTACCACATTTTGTTGCAGGAAAGACTAAGAAGGAGAAGCCATGCTCATCAATGGGAAAAAAGCTAAACAATTTAAAGTATAATGAATTAATGGAATATTATTGTGCTGTAAGTAATGACAAAAGGGATGTCCTGAAGCGATGTGTATGAACTGATTTAGAATACGATGAATATAATTAGATGGCTAACTTACATGACTACAATATTATTTTTTAAAAAATCAATTCTTAAAGTCTTGATCAATGCAATGACTAAACATGAAATGACATGCTTCCTACCTCTGGACAAGAAAGAAGATGTATTAGAGGTATCAAATGAAACATTTCTTTTAAGATATGGCCAATGGATACAATGGTTTTGCTTGATGATGCTAACTTGTTATAGAGGAGGGCTCAAGGCAGGGAGAAGTGAGACGGAAAAGCAGGGAGCTCATGATAGTGATGCCATGAGAACAAAAGAATGCATGAAGAAAATATTCAAGAAAATGTACAGAAGAAATCGGATTTAGTAAGAACACAAAAAGCCAGAGTAGACTCAACATGAAATGAATGACACTTTTAAAATGAGTTATTCTTGTAAGTAATGAGATTGACTGTTTCACATGTGATTCTTTTTTTCTGTTCCCTGTATATGGAAATATTCATATTTGCTGGTGTTTTCAAAATCAGAATAATAAAAAGGAAAAGGGAAAAATTATAGTAGGTTTCTAGTCTGACCATTTCAGATGCCATAACCTCCCTATGAGCCACAGAGATGAAGCCGAATTAATGTTGTTCATGTGAGACTTTATCTTTTTTAACTTGAGACAGATGGTTTTTACATATGCCATAAGAAGCAGTTGTATTAAAAAACAAACAAATCTCCTCACGAGGTTAAAATAAATTTTAAAAATCGCAGTAAGAAGGAGTCAGTAGGCTGGTAACGCAAAGGAGATGACATTGGAAGAAATGAAGACTGTCAGTCACGGAAATGCCCCAATTAGAGAGCTGCCACAAAATATTCTAAATTTCTAGTAGGAAAGCATTTTCTTGAGGGAAAAATCTTCAGATATTATCAAAAGATACTTCAGTCAAGGTGAGTAAAATATGTAACCACACTTACAAAAAAAAGGTTACTAAAAATTATGACAAATGCACATATTCAGTTTTGGGGACCCCTCCTTGGTCAGCCTAAAAATAAAGTCAATTGTTCTAACTAAAACCACACCAGTAACTTAGGGCTCAAGGAGAATGTCACTATAGGGAATAAGAGTTTAAGAATACAGTCTTTACAATAGAGTATTTCAGAGACTGACACTTGTGAAAGTTGTTCTGAGGATCAAATAAGATAATAGATATAAAGGGTTTTGTAAACCTAAAAATAATAAATAAATTATTCACCATTTCTACCATCATCATTATAACTGTTCATCTGTTTGTATCCAACAGAGGTCAGTTTGGGTGTTCTTAAATGTTTTGAAATTCTTTACTTAAAATGGATTTTCATTGATATATTTTATTTTTTACACCACCTAGTTTTCCATTACCTCAATGCCTCTCTCAGAACGCCATCCCTTTTAAAAAGAATTTTTAAAAAGAAAAAAACCGGAAATTTTTTTTAAAAGTAGGTAAAGCCAATCAACAAATCAAAAATGTTTAACACTACATTCAAGTTCAACATGCATAGAAACCTCTTCTCTGCAAAGAAGTGGGGGGAGGTTTTTCTTATATATCTCTTCTTTGGGGCCAAGTCTGTTCCCTATAATTTTGTCACATTCATTTTTTGTTGTTTTGTGATTGTTATTCTTTCCATTTACATTGTTGTAGTCATTGGGTAAACTATTTTACTGGCTCTGCTTACTTTACTTTGCATCAGTTCATGTAAATATTTTTATACTTCTCTGTATTCAACATGTTCATTATTTCTTAGAGCAGAATAACATATTCAATTACATGCAGGTACATAATTTGTTTAGCCATTCCCCAATTAATGGATATCTACTCTTGCTTCTTTGCTACCACAAAAATCTAATATTTTGGTGTATATGGAGCCTTTCTTCTTGTCAATAAGATCCCTGGGGCATATGTCTAGGAAATTAATAAGTGAATAAAAAAATAGAGACATTTTAGTCACTTTTATTTGGATAATTCTAAATTGCCTTCAAGAATGTTCGTAGTAATTTGCAGTTCCATCAAGAATGCACTAATGTGTGTCTTTCCACACCTCCTTCAATACAATTTCTACCTCTTGCCATCTTTGTCAATTTGTTGGGTATGAAATAAAACATCATGGTTGTTTTGATTTGCATTTCTCTTATTATTAGTGATTTGCATCATTCTTTCATATGATTAAGAGTTTGCACTTTTTCTGTTGAGAAATGTTTATTCATATCCTCTATCCACTGGGGACTGACTGTTTTTATACGTTTCTGTCAGTTGTCTATGATTTTGGATGCCCAATCCTTATCCAAGGAATGTGATAGATTTTTTTTACCAGTTAGCTGCTTCCCTTCTTATCCTCTATGCATTAATTTTGTTTGTATAAAAATCATTTTAATTTTGTGTAATCAAAATTATCTATTTTATCTTCTGTAATTATTCTTTATCAAGGTAAAATCCATCTCCTACTCATAGCTATGAAATGAACTGAATGTAATCTGCTTCTTTTCTAAAATGTTTATGGTATCTGAACTTTAATATTCAGGTCAGATTGATTTTGAATTTATCATGTAATAGGGTATAAGCTAACTTAAGACTAATTTTTTTTAAAAGCCACTATTCTATTTGTTCTTGTCTCTTTTCCCTTTCTCTTCTACTAAAGATTATCTAAATCTTTATTGTTCTTCCCTGAACTTCATCTCTATTGTTCTTCACTGCATTTCTTCAAATATCAAACTACTAAGAATTCTTATTTCTAACTCATCTGCTCTTTCCTCCATACCTTTGTTTTTGTTATTATTTCTAGTCAGAATATTCTTATCTTCCTCTCTGTCAAACCTCAGCCCTCAACTATTTTCAATCACTACTAAAAATTCACTTCTAACAAATCTTCAGTGATTAACTTTACCTGTATGTTCACTTAGTGCTCAACCACACAATATTTATGTATTCCGTTTGCATCATATCAAGATATATTTGTTAATCAGCTTCCTTTTAATTTTATGCATACGTGGTTTACCTGGCACTAGAATTAAGCTCCTGGGGAACATACCACACCAGTCATACTTAGCAAATACTCAATATGTTACTGCCTGACCCTTTCCCCTTAAATTTGAAAAAATAGAATACTGCTTCTTTCTTTTTTTTGGGGGGGGGTGCAACGGGATTAAGTGACTTGTCCAGGGTCACACAGCTAGTAAGTGTTATGTGTCTGAGGCCACATTTGAACTCAGATCCTCCTGAATCCAGGGCCAGTGCTCTATCCACTGCACCACCTAACTGATCCCAGAATACTGCTTCTTAAATAGTTATTTAGCTCTTTTATAAAACATAATAAAGCTTAATTATTTGTTACACAATTTATCCATAGCTGAATGGGCTCCTACTATAGTGGGTAATCTCACTTTCCAATTAAATTCTCACTTTTTTGCATGCATTTTCCTGACAAGAAACTTTCGTTTACCAAAAATTTTTATTAGCAAAATTTGGATAAAACTATTTTTACAAAACTCATTAAATAACAAAATGAGCCAAGAGAGTCATTCCCATCAAATTATGTGCAAAACAGGGCTTTAAGTCATATACAGCAGGTAACTCCCTTCCAATGTAATTCAAATTGGTTCAATAAGCATACCAGCTAACTACTAAGTGCTAGGTACTGCAGGTATAGAGACAAAAATGAAAACAATTCCAACTACCCTCAAGTAGCTTTCAATCTACTTAGGGAATCATGTACACAGATAAGAAAATACAAAATAATGTGGGGAAGAATGCTGCTAATTGAGGGAACACAAAAAAGGTCACATACAGCAGATGTCATTTGACCTAAGCCTTGAAAACTAAGCTAGAGATTCCAAGAAATGGAAGTGAGGATGGAGAGAATTCTAGAAATAGAAAAAAAAAATCTGTGTAAAACATGGAAGCAAAAAAGATGGAATGTTGTGTACAAGGAATAAATAAAAATTTGTTTCTATATAGCTAGAGTAGAAAGTAGTAGCTGGGCCTACACAAAGTATTTTAATGATCAAACCAATCATTTTCACCTTTTTACTACTGGAAAGCTCAGAAATAGACAAAGCCACTATGAGAAACAAGGTTTGGTAAGTATGAAGTTTCTTGACTTCTTAACTCACTAAACATTGGTACAAGGGCATTTTGACTACTCAGATAAACCTTCAGAAATTCCAGTATTATCCCAGCAGTGCTCTGTTCTGCCTAAATTTTCCTGCTGACATAAATATCAGTTTTCTCAGTCTAGAATTCATAACACAACATTATACCTTTTTCTCTGTGTGCAGTAAATGAATTATGACTCTCCAGGGGATGTCCAAGATACTTCCAAGAGACATTATTTTTTTTCTTCAGAATAATCTCTACTTTACCCGTTTTTTCTGTAACACGTGCTAAAAATAAATTCCATTAGTATTCAAAACTTGGATCACAGTTTATATTAGCCCACCAAAAGTCAGCTCTTTAAAAAAAAAACCAATCCATTCCAAACTTATCAATGTCACAGACATGACATACTTCATGGTAAAAACAGGAACAAATGTAAACTAATGTTTTGGTTATATTTTCAACAAAATTCCTTCTGACTCATTGCTTCTAAAAAACTACACACGAAATGGTTTAAAAGGAACCAAATTTACTTGCTAGATTCCCAAATCTGTACCCTATCAGGGTCAATCCTTTATTTCTGAGGCCCTGAAACTCCTCTGTCCAAGTTCCAAGCATGTCCAAAACAAATGCTGTCCCGGGAACTTCCTCAATTTTCTGATGCCTAGGAGAGAAACATCTCCATTTTGACGGCTCCAATATAAAAAGCTTCTTTTCCTGATAATAATTGGATAAGTTTTTAGCTTGATCACTGGATCACAGATCTAGGAGTGCAAGGGACTATGGATATAAGGTTATGATGTACTGTTCTATCCATATCTCTAATGATCTCAGGGGTTCATTCTTATACTTTTCTTTGAGGCTTCTCAGAAAACTGGTTTGATCCTCAAGTACTATTTTCCTTTCCTTTCACACCCAATTCACTTCCTAATCAACCAGTATAAAAGTAAACAGAGTTGTAGGTTGTCCAGAATGGGCTTTAAGTCACTCCCATCTCTTTTCTTGGAACTATCCCTCCCAACTTCTACCCCAAATTTGTTACTGAAGCATTATGTCTTAAATCATAGGCACAACAGCCAATATGAATTAATCGAAAGTTACTTCTATAAAAGTTTCCAATTGATTTATGTTCTTTTGAAAGGTGGCCCTAAGGTTTCTGGACATAATCTCTAGCTGAATGTCAGTAAATCTATCATGGTGTAAGGTAATTTTCAAGGAAATCTGGCAAACTAGCAAGTGAAACTGGTTTCTCAATATACTGGATGGAGTAAATTCTTTATGCAGGCTGTTTTTAAAACCAGGCTAATTTGCTTTATACTCATATTAACTTATTTGAAGCTAATTGCTCAAGGGCCATGCTTCTGTATGTCTGGTCAACATGCTTAGTCATGCCAATTAATTAGCAAAGCTAAAAAAAAAAAAGCCTAAACTTAATAAGCCAGTGAGCATTTGATGGCTCTAAAATAAATTTAATTATCTCTTTTTTAACAGCTCTGAGAAAACTGAGGATAAATGGGGTAGGCAGATGCAGAACTTAATTATGCAGGGAAAAAAAACAGAAAGAAGTAGGTTTGTTGGTAAATATAACTAACTTAAATGAGTCTGAAAGCTAATGAAAACGTCCTTGAAAATATTTTTAAAAAACCATTTGCATGACTTTAAAATGTTAAGCACTTTTTGGCACATATATTCTACTCATTATTTTGCTATAGTTACAGAATTACTACAGGTTTTATAAATATAATATAGTGCCATTCGTTTATCTTATAACCAAAAATTAAAAGCCCACATTGGGCATGGATACACAGCAAAACATTCTATAAAATCTGAATATTCTTGATTCAACATGCTTTAAACTCACCATTATTAGTATTAAATATGTAAATGTACATACTTAAACATGTATTTGCTCTAATAAAAATGATAGCTATTGCAAGAGAGAAAATGGGAAAGAGAATGGAAAGAAGGAAGTGAGAAGGATAATGAAAAGCAGAAGAATGGAAAAATAGAAGACACGAAACAGATAAGGGAGATAGATATAAGAGAAGGAAGGAAGAAAGGAAAAAAGGGAGGGAAAAACTAGAGAAACAAAAATGGAAGTAGGTGACAAAGAATAATGTAGCTCTTGAATACGAATTTCTCAAGATCTGATGATTTAAACAGTTTGGAATATAGGTATATTTTAGTACTTATATAAAAAAATTAACAATGATAAAGTTATTGAATAGAATTAAGAAAAAAATTTTAATTTATAAACTTACCAGTAATGTCCTCTTGAATTTCATGGCTCAACTCTACAACAGAAATATCTGATTTAGTCTTCACTTCTCATAAGTCAAATTTTCTTTCAAATCACTGAATCTACAAGTACCAGAAGAGATCATCTTCATCTTAAGTTCTAGTAACATAATATGCTCCAATTATCTTAAGTAATAAATAACTCTGAGAGGCCAAAAGATATGAATTCTATTCAATCAAAATTGAGACCAAAACCACTTAAAACACTTTTCTTCAATATGTCAAAAAAAGTTAATATTTTCATTTACTATTTCCCACAATTTAAAGGGCCAATTCTCAATTTTCCACAAGTGAATAATCCAAAGCTGCCTCCTCACTACTGTCCAGCTGAGTTGCAGACCACAGAACGAAGAACGAGTCAGGCCCCAAAACAGAGGACTAAATGCCTGTAAGTACACATAAATTTGCTATTCAATATACATATCCAAGCAAAAATAATTTCAATCTCTTTTCAATAACCTAAAATCAAGCCTACTTCACTAGAATGAACAATTGAGACTTGACTTTTTTGAAATTTTGGAACTTTTGATTCAATTTCAATAACAACAAATTTTATACCTTTTTTTTATTTATGGTAGGTGAACTGTTCAGCTATACAGATCAGTTAGAACATATCTCATCCATTAAGGATATTGGGAAAAGATCGTTTCACAAAGAGAACCACTTCAATGCTAATGACTAACATATTCTGACAATACAGCTGGGCACACAAGATAAGCAAATGTTCTTCTGAAAGACACAGCCCAGCGGGCTTTACACTAACATTGAAAAAACAGAGAGAAAGAAAGAAAACTAGATTAGATGCATTTCTGGATGAGAAGTTTAAGACTGCCTGAACTGTTTCTTTAACTCCTATGGGTATTAAAAAAAAAAAAGATTAACTCAGACCAAGTGCCAGGCTGAAGACACTTCTTTAACAGAGTAAGGTGTAGTCAGCATGATGCTAAGCCAGCAGACACATCTTAGAGCTTCGGCCATGTTCTGCAAAAGTAAAACGCAATATTCTGTAACTAAGAATAGATGCTAAATGTACCATTACTAAGACCTCTCTAAGAAACTGAAATAATAGGGCATTTTCCTATAAGCATTTTGCATATGCATGTATGTTCTACTGCTGGCTTCTAATTAGGTCTATGTTACTTGTCTGCCCTCACAAATTACTATACTTTCATTTTCAAGTGAGAAAATGGTGAGAAATTAAAGCCAGAAGCACTAGAAACGGTTTTCAGAAAAGAAAACTGTGGGAAGAAGGAAAAATCTCATCTAGCTTGTTTCAACTATCTCACTCATATCTGGTAATGGAGCAGAAGAGACAGAACAATAAAAAGTCAGAATTTGGAAGAAGCAAGTTCAGTTGGAACACATGACAGACACCATTTTTCTGACGACTAAAGATTAAAAAAACTAACTTCATTAATGTTGAATCAATAAATATTACTGATCTGGATTATACTTAATTTCTTCAATATGGAAAGCTAAAATGCTAACGTTATTGGCCCTACAGGGTACATGGGGAGAACAGAAAAGAGAAAAAAAAAAGATACTGAAATTACTGAAAATTTTAGAATGATGAACAACCAATGGGCATAATTAACTTTTACTATAGATGCTTAATTTAATTTTTATAGATTTAATTTTAATCAATTTCCATTTCATTTCTGTATAAGAATATTTTGATCAAAAGCACTAATGGATTAAGTTTCTATTCAGAAATTTAATTTAATTTAGAACCAAATTATCATATTTAGAACAAACTGCAGAGTCAGTATGTTGTAGTAAGAAAAAAATAAGCCTTAAGCATCTGAGGTACTAAATTGGGCCCAAGCTCTGATACATGTAGCTGTGGAACCAGGGTGCTTATTTTACCGAACTTCAATTTCCCCATTTATAAAATAGGGATAACAATACTCGCACTGTGTATTTTACAGAGTTATCATGCAAAGACTGAGTAAAAATATTGTTTCATCCATAAAAATGCACTTACCAGTATGTAGAAGATAGGAATAATCGTTGACAACAATTTCTGCTCTAAAGCAACCATCTTGATAGTCAACTATTACAGACTCTGAATCCATATCCTTAGACGGAAAACAAAAATTTTAAAAGGTGATACGATTTGAACTTTTAAAAATCCTCAATGCATGAACTTTCCAGTAAGTGTAGGAGAGCAAAAAAAAAAATGCACTGAAAGGCAAAAGACCTGTATTCTAGTCCTGGCTCTGCCAAACTAGGTTAGACACTTGGTCCCTCTAGGCTCACTTCCCCTAACTGCAAATTAAGGAGAGTTTGAACTAGATCACCTCTAAAGTCCTTCCAACTAAATTCTAATAATTTTTTCTTCCTCACATAAGGTTCCTTAGATAGAACATTCAGCCATTAAAGTCTCTCTGTGATACTCCCATGTCCACATTGATCTGAAGGCAACTTTAGGTTCTCAGTGACAAGGCCAGAGAAGCTCAAGCTCTGACAGTTCTTAACAAACTGGAAAGGCTTCAAGTGGAGGGCAAGGACTGGCCTTGCCAAATTCAAAGAGTTCACCACCAGAAGACAACTTACTGATTAAGTAGGGAAGGAGATGGTGGGGGAGGGGGTGAAGCTGGCAGTAACTTGTGAGACCATCTAAGGCATAACTTTTCATCTGAGTTAGCACAAGGAGTGCCCACGATTAATAAAATTCAAGATCTTTGGAAGAACTGAGAAAGATTATTGACCTTAAATAAATAATTTATTCAAACTATTTAGGTAAATGCTAAGTAAAAGTAACAGTATACTAATTTGTAAGCATAAAGAAAAATCTACTTTTGGACTTTCAATCTCTTCTAGTTCACCAGGATGCCATCCAATCTCTCACAAACACAATTTGCTAGATCAGTGTTTCCCAAATAGCATTCTATTCTGCTAAACCCTGAACTTTTCACCTGATTACATTGAGATTTACTAGGAAAACTGTGATGCTGGTGATAATTTTTCAGAGACAAGAGGAAGAAGAAATGTTCTTCTCTTCTCCAAGTGTGATGAACAGAGAGAGGTAAAAAGCATGGCAGAACAAAGGACGACAGTGAGGAGAGACAATAAGCAAGGAGTGGGCAGAGGGTTTTTGCCTCTGACTGCTACAGAACAGGAGGCACTAAGTTGTAGAAAGATCTAGCACAATTTGAACTGAGGTGAGAAGGTGGTATAACTGGGGGCAAAACAGAAGTAAAACACCCCAAATTTTTCTTTCCTTTCTCTTATTACTTTGGTATTGTCTGTTATTTTAAAAATTGGTCGATAAAGTAAATTAACTGCTCCACACAGAGGTGAATGGCATAGCAGCAAAACTGACTACTTTCCTCTCCTGTTCTGCAGCAGCATGGTACGGAGAAACCAGATTTCAGCCTGGGGGGAGAAGAAGCAATCTGAGGATTGACTTGAAAGTGATTATTACATTTTATGTTTTGTTATTTGAGGTTTCTTGATATTATGCTTTTAAAATTTTAAGTAAACTTATTTTTGCCCTAAAATTAACACCTTTGTTTTTGTACATCAACTTTTTAGAAAACCTAAATTAATAGTGGGTTATCTCACTTGGGTTTCTTAGTTGTTCAATACTAAACTATAACGCTAGCTACGTTACCAGAACAAGTAAATCAATCCACCACTGGAGGCAGAGGGACAAAGAAAGAACATATTCCAGAGAGTAAGATTTAATAAGAACTTTTAGAACTTGATTCAACCCCGAATTAGTGAAAAACATTAAACATGGAGTATGATCTAGGTGCTGTGCTAAGGGTCAATAGTCTCTGTTCCAAAGAGGCCACAGAAGTAAAATCAAAACTAACGACCAATGGAAGACTGGGTTAGGAAGATCTATCAAAATCCTTAACCTTTCAACAACAAGGAAAAGTTATTAAATTTTCAATGTGCAGTAAAGTAACTATATAGAAACATTTTAGTGAGGCAACCACTTTCACAGCGATCACAGCAGGGATTCTCAACTTGTTGCACAATAAGGTCCATGTATTCTCACCCCTATGTGGAGATTCAATACGGTGTCTAAACTTGAAAATCAAGGGTAGGGCTATAAATTATATGCCTAAATGAACAAACACAGAGCAAAAAAAAAAAAGGTCCTATCATAAACCAAGTTTCAAGTATACTGAAACCAGAGTTTATCATTTCCTTCATGAGCTGAAACTTTTCTTTCATTGGTATTTCTAGGATCATTAACTACAAAAAGTAACAAGCAGGAAAAACAAGAGATAATATAATTAAAATTTCCAAAGGGTTTTGCTTGGTTCAAAAGAACAAAAACCATTTTCAAAATACCATTTGGAAATATAGTGCTGAATTTGGCCTGTACTGTTACCTTTTCACAAAACTGATGACTATTGATTGATTAAACTCGCAAAAGTATGTACACATTTCATTTCCCATAAATATGGGAAATCAGTAATATATCATTTAACCTAGGCTTATAAAGTTTTCAAAAGATCTCATCCACAAAATGTCTTTAGAAATTCCTAGTTTTTATACCACGTGTACAATTAAACTTGATATATATCATCTGAACCATACTCTCCACCTAGGAATTTTTCCTTCCCACCCTAGCCCACAACACATATCCTGCAACTAGTATCCCACTAACCTAGAAAGGCAACATGGCATAGTGTACAACACTGGACTTGGGAGTCAGAAAGATACATATTCAAGACTCAATCCTAACTCTATCTTTAGGTAAATCACTTAGATTTCCAGAGACTTAGGTAACTAAGAATTATCAACTAAGTAACAATGAGTTACAATCTCTATCAGTGAATGAAATTCCCACATAAACAATATCGAAGATCCTTTATCTAATATGTATATATAATACATATGCTCACACAGACATATATTCAGTTAATATACCTAAAGGCTATCAAGAGCAAGAGGTGGCAGCAGTAAATGTGCAGGTCCTTACCATCCATGCTACAGCTAGTCATAAGGGGCAGATTTGTGGTAGACCTCGTCTCCTTGACTCTGCCAGATGGTGGCTGGCAGGTCTTCTATAAGACAAGACAGAATTCTTTTTGTAAAAGGGTCAATTTTGCTATAAGACACCAAGGGAACTAAGTTTCAAGCAGAAGTCAGCGCGTAATCGTAACATGAAGTCATGAATGGCCAGGATGGCTGACTTAGCTCTGTGATTACAGCAGAAATACCAGATCTTTATTACTTCAGCTACTAGTTCTTATCTTTTAAGATGCACAGCTCCCTGGAGTCTGCTGGCTAGAGAAGGAGGACATGGGAATGTACTGATGCTCAATCTGTAGCCGAATGACTGTAGAGAATCAAGGAAATAGCATCCCTCTGAGACCCTGGTTTCCCCTTCTTACAAGTTCAATTTGTGACCTGGAAGTCTGTTACTTCAAAGACAGTTGAAACTAACAAATATTCTCATTTGTTCTGCAAATTACACTAACAGAATTTTGTGGGATTTTAAAGGGGGAGGGCATTTCTACACATGAAATCTCATCAGGGATGAAATAAAAAATACCTCCTAGTCTGGTTTTTAGATTTTTCTCTGATTTCAAAGAAACATTTACCTTCTGTTTGGTATATATGACAATGGTGACTAAGGATTCTGTTTGGAACCAATCATAGCTGTAAAAGATTGTGAAGAAAAAATGTTTAGATCTTGATTTAAACAATCCAGTCCACAAGAATAAACCAAAATCATTAAACATCTTCATATTTTCAGTTTTCAGGAAAATACATACCTTTTAAAACTTATACTCCACACAAAAACTACCTCTTCACTTTATTACATGATGTATTTAAATTATACTTTTTATATAAGATCTTAGGTCAAGGTTGCTAACTAGAGACAAACACTTACTATTCTCACTGAACAAATTTTCAAAATCTGAATTGTCTACTTCTGTGTAGGGGTAACTTGGATTAAGCACTATTAGAAATTTTTGACACTTCCATTGAAAGTGGAACTAACATCTATTCCATCTCAATAATGATAATTAGCAAATGCCCATGAACAAAAAATTTGGTAAGGGATTATCTTAACTCCTAATCATCCCATAACAAATAAATGACTAAGTCCCAGAGAAAATGACTGACTAAACATCAAGTTAATGCTAAGTTGTGAAATTTACTTTTCTAATCCTCAGAAACGCATACTGAAAAGAAAAAAAAACCACTGAAATGGGCAGCTACTAAACACCTGGAAGTTTATGGTGCTCTAAGAAGTAAAAACAACAACAACAACAAAAAAGCATGTAAACTGCTATAATATAGAGCAGAAGGGTATGTGTGTGTGTGTGTGTGTTTATGTATGTGTATGTACATATACAAAGAGAGTATATATAGAATACATATGTACAAATAGAGAGATAGAGAGACAAGAGAGGAGAGAGGGATCAGAGTAGAAGCTGTGTGTTATTCACTGGTGGTCAACAACTACCTTACATCTTCAATATTTCTGGCAGCAATTTTATATGTGAATTATGCCTTTTCTTAAACGTTTAAATGATTTGTTTCCATCCTCTTGGCAAGGAGCAAACATTCTTAAAATGTTTTTAGAACAACTCTTCTGGAATTGTCTGCAGAACAAGGTATAATCTTTCGAATATTTTCAATCATAAAAAAATTTTCAAGTCCTTTGTAAACTTTAATATACTACAAAAGTAGTAATTAGCATATTCAACATCATTACCCTCTGAAAACAGATAGCTAAAAGTCATTTGCTGACAAATCTAAGCAGTAGGGTAGGTAATTAGACTAAGTGATACCATTTTTGGCAAAAACAAACAAACAAGATGTGATCAGACTGATAATTTTTCTACGGTTCTATGGTTCACAAACTGGCTCAGTATACAATTCTAAAAGAGTTGCAAAAAGCATGGAGTAATGTCAGCAATAACGAAATCTAAAGTGAATATACTGAAGAGCAATACTAATTTGGATTTTTAAAATCTGATACATTTGTTGCCCTAAACAGTTCTGTTTGTAATCCAATTTCATAAGTGTATTTTTGCCTGGAAAGCCAGGGAACCTACCTCCCTGCGTGTTGAGCTACAGTCGCTGGTTCAGAACACTCAATGGACAAAAGTCCTGTGATTATTCTTGGATCTAAGAGAAACTTACCTGTCATATATGGGCAAATTAACAAAGAATCTTTAACAATATCAGAAATATTTCCATTAGATTCCTTTGCCAATAATGACTGACATTAATAAAGTACTTTAAGGTTTGCAAAGCATTTTATGTATATTTGATCTGGCAATATGGATATTATTATTATTATTGTTATTATTAGTTTCAGAGCAGCTATGTGACTTGTCCATGGTCACACAGGAAATACTTGTCAGAGGTTGGATTTGAACTCAAGTTTCCCCTGACTCTAGGTCCAGCACTCTTCCCACTATTACTGCAGTACTTCCTTTTAGTCACCCACTACACTGCCCATGAAGAAAATTTGTCCACGTTTCCAATGTGATAAGCACTTCAACTCATAAAAGATAAAAACCATTTCCCACATTTTCAACATAGAACTTGGTCTACTATTTGAAAAATAAGAGAAAAAAAACAGAAACAAAGAAAACCTTCCAAGCTTCAAAGCAAAATAAAACTTAAGAAAGGTACTTAAATCAATTATGAGACTATCTATTGTCTTTAATGCCGTCATTTAATCAAGTCATCAAGAGTACTCAAAAAGAAAAACTATTTATCTGATAGCCCAGTTTTCCATCATTCTCAACTATTCAAAATACAACCACATGGTAACAAATAAGCAAAAAGATGTTTTCATATCAAGAAAACCTTTCTACAAAGCAAATGCTCTTTGTGCCACAATGGAGGTACGGAATCCTTCTAGTTTTTCACTAGAGTCAAATGTCTTAGAATTGCATATAAATTAAAGCTATTAACTTGAGGAACTTTGGTTATCTAGCATTCCTATAGTAAACAATGGCTTTGAAGCAGATGAAGAACAGAAATGTTGGGAACCCTGAGAGGATGATTATACCACCTTCAACAATTCAATATGCATTCAAGAAAAATATGTTAATTGTGTACTATAATGATTTTGTGCCAGACACTCAGAGTTCTTAACAGGTTGAGAGGGGAACACTTATTCTGGCATGTGTCCTAGACTTTGGCAAAGTTGAATTTAAAGAGCTGAAAAGCAAGGATGATAGGCTTTAACAGCCTATCCCTTTTCACAAAGGAAGTTAGCTCTGATGACCAAAAAATAAACTAATATGATAAGGAAGAAAAGAAAGCACTAGCTACAAAGTAGATGAATAAAAAAACTCATTGACTGACCACACAAGAGGCTGAACCTGGAACAATAGAACAGAGAATGAATGCAAAAGAGTAAAACAGATCTGTAAAAGTATTAAGGCTGTTAAAATGTAAAACAACCTTAGGCTTGTGCTAAATGCTAAGGGCATCTAGTCCTAGCTCGACTAGGACAAGAGGAAGATCAAGAAAGTAGACCACTTGAGATGATGAACGAAATGACAAATGATTAAGGAGACAAGGTAGACCGTCTCAAACTCCTATTTTCTTTCTGTTTTCTCTAGCAAGTAAACAACTGTCAAAATGGGACAGAGAGAACAAGAAAGTTAGGAGGAAATTAAAACTAAGAATTTATTAGATAATATTAAGAGAGCCCACATCTAGGTACTTTCAATAAGTCTGAATGATTAGGCTCAGAAAAATTATACTCTGGGGAATTGAAAGAACTTACAGATGTGGTTGCTTAATAGCTATCATTAAAGAATCATAGAGAAATGCAGGTGCTATAAGCTAGAAGACAAGAAAATGACATCTCAATTTTCAAAGAGGAAAAACAGATTTTTGAAACTATAGAGCTTCCTTTCAATTCCTGAATAGAATCTAAAATGTATTACAAATAAAACACTTTGTGAGCACTTAGAAAAATGAACAGTACAATCACTGAGGTAGCATAGGGTCACGAAGACTTAGTCATACAAACTCTGGGCATATAACTCCCATGCAGACCAAAGATAAAAACAAAGTGCCAACATGTAACAAAATATTCACACCAACATCCTCATGGTTGTAAAAAGCTGTAAACAAAATGCATGCCTGCTGATTTGGAAATGGCTGAAAAATGTCTGCATAGTAAGAAAAAATGAATATGAGGAATTCAGAGAAATATGGGAAGGTTTGTATGAACTGATGCAGAGCAAAATAAGAACCCAAAGAACAAAATACAATGACTATAACAATGTAAATGAAAAGATCGTTAAAAGGAACTAAATTCTAAGTAACTGAAAAACCAATGAATAGAAAAGATAATAAAACATAACTTCTTCCTTGCGCAATGAAGTGAGGAACTTTGAAAACAGAATACTATATACTCTGTCAGATATGGTCAATGTATAGGATATTTTTATTAATTGTTTTTGTCATAAGGAAGGGTTCAGTGGGGATACATGGGACTGAAATGACTGTGATACAATGACAAAAGGTACCAATAAAATACTTTAAAAAATGAAGCCATGTAAGACTAATCTCATCTTTTTTTTTTTGACAGAGTACCTAGACCAGTGAGAGGAAAGATGGCATGGCAGACAGAGCCATCCTACAAATCAGGAAGACTTGGGTTCAAGTCCTTCCTCTAATACATACTACCTCTGTGCTTCAGAGTAAGTCACTTAAGCTCTAAGTACCTGAGGCAACTCTGTAAAGTCATAAGTGGTATAAGTGTTACTGATCTGCGTAGGTAGAAGAAATTTCCTCACTGGGGACTCCCTACATCAGTGAAATCACAGAGATCTGGAGGGGAGGGGGAGGGGAAGGACTTTCATGCAGCACTCCTCCTATTCCACCCAAAACAATAAAAATTGTCTGGAAAATCTTAATGACAAATCAACCACTACCACCAGCTCACATTTACTTTATGTTTTAAAAGGTGCTTTCCTCACAACAACTCTGTGATGTGGGTAGTACAAGCATTATATTCTTATTTTAGTAATATAGGAACTCAGGCTGAGACAGATAAAATTACTTGCCCATATGGCAGACACATGACATACAGATTTTCGGCAAGGCATCTGACAAAAGTTTCTCATGATATTCTTGTGGACGAGGTGGAGAGAGTTATAGCTAGATAACAAAATTATTTAGGTGGATTTATAATTTGTTGAATGACTGACCCCAAAAGTGGTGATTAATAGAATGATGGAAAATCTCCAGTAGAGTGACACAGGATGCAGTCTTTGGTCCTATTCAGAAGGCTTATCAAATTGGTACATGACATGAAGCAGAAAAGGATGAGCTAATACATTAAATAACAGAATCAATATATAAAAAAAAATTGACAGACTAGACTCAGTCAACTCTAATAAGACAGAATTTAACAGGAATAAAATTAAGTCCTATACTTGGGTTCAAAAAAATAAATTGTATAAGTACAGCATGGGGTAAAAACGAGTTATCAGTATGACATGTGACATGACAATAACAACCCTCCCCTCCAAATAAAAGGCCTTTAAGCTATATTAGCAGAAGGAGGGAGATGATTGTTTCACAGTATTGTGCCCTTATGAGAACATATCTGTAGCATTAGTTCCAGTTTGGACACATCTTAGGGGTGGGGATGCAGCAGCAATATTAACGGCCTAATGGAAGACTAAGGTGGCAAGAAAACTCTTAAACCATGCCATTTCCAGGGTCAGTTGAAAGAAATTGGGAGTTTAGCCTAAAAAATAAAAAGGTTTCAGGTGGTAGAACAAGTTCATAATAGTAGTCTTCAAATATATGAAGAAGGTACTACCATACAGAAAGTAGATTAATTACATCTTCCCTAGACCCAGGATCAAAAAGAAAGACTTCAGCTCAATTTAAGGGGAAAATTCCTAATAATTAGATCTGCAGTGATTTTCTATTCAAGTGTTGAAACAGAGGTTGGATGACCATGAAGTGATGTCACCAAGAGGACAGCTATACTGCAGATCAATATGAATTAAATGGCTTTTGAGGTCCTTGTCAACTCAGTCTACAATTCTAGAAGCATCAGGAAAGAGCTAATTGAAGTGAGAAGAATACTGAGAGAATTACAGAGTGGATTGAAAATTATGAAAAAAGTTAAATTTTGCTCAATATATTATTCAATAATAATACTAAGGGATAGAAATGTGCAACACACCTTAGAAAGATTTCCATCAAAAATAAAAAATCAGTTTCGTCACTTAAAAGGACAATTTTAATTTATTGAGAATATTCACTTTAAGGAATATCTCAATCTCCCACAACATAAAATAAATGAGGACTTACTGTATATATTTATTGTACGATAGTAATAGTAGGTGAGATATATTTTAATACATTATTGTGTTTGATAAATTATTTAAAAAATTTTTACATTGGAAATGTGAAGAAATTCTCAACCCACCATATGTACTTTCTACTAACTAAACTCATATTTATTTCACTCAAAGTGAAATCACAATACATACCTTGGAGAAATTTCTTTGACAGGTAAATCTGGTACTTTGCTTTTGAGAAGTATGCCTATAAAGAGAAACTTTTTTAAGAAATGGAAATTTCACCAACATGTTATTCTACTAAATCAAAATTAAAATATGTGAAATTATACAGAAAAAATTTTAAAAGCTGAAGACCCAAGTGAAGATGTACTGAGGAAGTACATATAAGGTGGCATGGTAACTCGGGGTTTTTGAAAGTTAAGTCAGTGACACAAAATCTGTGCAGAGATGAACTTTTGTATGCAACTTCAGCCCAGGCTAGATAAGTCTGGAAAGGCTCAACACCAAATACTGGCAAAGTGATGATTTTTTTTTTCCTGCTATAGCAGCTCAGGAAGACAATTTATCAAGGTGTAGAAGGCCTGTGTGATCTGAATTGGTAAATGGAGTAACCACAAAAAATAAAACCAATTACTCCTAAAATGACAAGCAAAAAAAAATGTTCCTTTATGTCAGAATTTTAACAGCCTTCAATCTATTTCAGGAGTGTTCCTGTTTTTAAGGATCCTAAAACCCCTAAAAATGCAAATATCAAGAATATATGCATCACTGCCTAAAATTATCTTCTTCAATGGATCTGCAAACTCATCAGTCAAGCCTCTCTGTTCTATGTCATGCTGATTTTTCTATTATTCATTTATTTTTCAATTATGTGATAGTGGTTTTCAGAATTCTACTTTCACTCATTTGGCATCATTCACACACACATAAAACCTTATGATATCACTACAGTTTAAATGTTCATTTACATACTAACAAAGACTCAAACCAGAAATGGAAAATATGCCTTAAAAGACCCACTTTTAGGTGACATTTTAGACCACTTCATAGACTACCACGAAAGCACTAAGCAACACTGATCTATTTCCAATACTAAAGTTTCTTTTCCCCCCTTTTCTATGAACATTCCTTTGGTTTCACAGGCTCAGCTTGTTTCATATAACATTCTCATTACAGAAGCTATCTTCCAGTTCTTAGAGTTGAACAAAGTCCAATGCTAGTGTGGCATTTCTGATGACATTTTCAGAGTATTAGCACAATAATACTATCATTTTCTTTCTTGTATTCTTTCCCTCTTACATACAGGGAAATTAAAATTAGTAATGTACAGGCAATTTTACATACATACAAAAATAAATAATATGAAAAAAACCCTCTTTATTGGAAAAGATTATATTTAGAAATAAGATTGCAAGAAAAACATATTGGGAGTTTGTTATTGATGAACCAAACAACTATGGTTGTTAGCAAATGCATGAGGACCATCAGTCCACTAATTACTGAAAAGGTAGCATACTGACCATATAACACAAGCCTCATATTAGCTTGTTCTTTTGATACTTTTAGTATCAAAGAACAAAAGGATATTTGTCATAAAATAAAAATATAATAGTTGAAATAACTAAAAAATGAAGGAAAATTTTCTGATCGTGAACTAGTTTTTCAATCTCAAATAAATATTTTCTTTTTCATCTATGGACCTACTGTTTTAGGAAAAAATGAGTAGTAGGCATGGTAGAAAAAAGTCTGAAGTTAGAGGTACTGTATCCAAACCTTATCTCTGACTTTCTACATGACCTTGGGTAAATTAATTAACCTCTCTGTGCCTCAACTTCCTCATTTATAAAAAGAGGAGCTAGACTAGATGACTTTTGGGGTCCCTACCAACTCTAAATCTATGCCCCTATGTAAGAATAATGTTAGGAAAGTTAAGGAGTTAACTGAGGCACGGGAAAACTGCCAAAGACAATAAACACATCTTTTTAAAGTCAGAGCAAGAAAAATAAACATCAAAGTGAATATAGAAAAGATAGGCCCAGTGCAAAGTTGAGGGATAAGAGAGAGAAGGCAAAATTACTAAATATTTTGCTCTGAGAAAGGAGACTTGTCTTCAAACCGAAAAGAGTACAACAAACACAATAAACATATATCATTATAAAAGATACTATTAAATATTATATAGTCCAGCATAAGTGAGGAGAAAGTTCATGAACACTGTGAAATATTGGTGAGTCAATGGTATTATTTCAAATAAGCAGTAGTTGGTGGTGGTATTATAAAAGAAGTTTTTACATGGATCAAAGATTTTATCATTTGTCTGGTCAAGCCTAAAATTCTAGGATTCCTAGTTTTGATAAGTGCATATAAATGGCATTAATATTAAGAAAATTACTAAAATATCAAGAAGACAAACTTGGTTCCAAAGGAGTCCACAGAAATATCATCTTCCATAATCTTCTTTGTAAAGACTTACCATTTAAAGGTTTCTTCTCATGATTCTCTACAAGGAAATACAAAAGATAAATAAAATTTTTAAAGGATCCTATATTAAGTAGAAAGTGAGCAAATATCAGAATATAAGACAATAAAAAAAGGAAATCAGCTTTCAGAATGGACATGCTTTAAAACCAAATCCGAATCAAAACACATTTATAAGAATTAAATTAAGTCAGGTAGCAAAAGAAATTCATTCTACCTAACAATTAACTAAGCATTAAGAACTCAGCTGTTTTTTCAAAGTAGGCTCATAGGATCAAAGATTTAAAGAAAGGAAGGACTACAAAGGTCACCTTTCTAATCCTCTTGTTTGCATATGGGAAAACTGAGCCTCAGAGAGCTCAAGTGACTTGTCCAATGTCACAAAGAGAGTAAGCAGGAAAACTGAGATTTGAACCAATATGCCCTGACTTTAAATCCGGCACTCTGTCCATGGCACCACACATTCTTCGTTTCTCAAATATCCACATTGTCCATAAAAATCTAACATACCCATATTTTAAAATGCTCCAAATCGCTAATGGAGAAAGGCAAATAAAAGTAATTCTGAGAATCCATCTCATATTCATCACAGTGGCAAAGACAAAAAGGAAAATAATAAAATTCATAGCAGGCTATGAAAAGACAGAAATATTTATGTGCTTCTAGTGGACCAAAGAAAGTATACAACCAGTCTGGAATGAAATTTGGAATTGCACACAAAAAGTTATTTAAAAATGCATGTCCTTTAACTCAACAACAGCACTGCTAGATCCATACCCAAAAGAGATAAAAGAAATAGGAAAATACATGCTCACTTTGGCAGCATACATAGAAATAGGAAAAATTCTATACAAAAAATAATCATAAAAGCTCTCAAGACATGAAAAAATTGGAAACTGAGAGAATGTGTCCCACAATTGGAATAATTAAGGAACAGCTGAATAAGTTGTGGTACATGAATGTGATGAAATACTACTGTGCTATAAGAAATAAGGAAACAAAATTTCAAAAAGATCATGGATTTATATGAATTGATAACAAAATGAAGTAAGTAAACCAAAACAATTTATACTATAACATCAATATTATAAACTGAATTAATTTTAAGGACTTTTATAAATTGATGAAGAATGAAATGAGCAGAATCAGGAGAACAATTTGTATAATAATAACATTGTAAACAACAACAACAACAACAAAAAAAACAAAACCCAGAATCTTGAAAGCCGTAAGAATACTAAAACTATTTATGATTTCAGAAGACTGATAAAATTTGTTCCCTGTAACAGAGATTTAGGATGCAGAATAAGATATATTCATACACACATATACATATATACACAGTGAGAAAATTTCTTTTGTTTGACTATGTATATTTGTTAAAAGAAATTTGTGCTTTTTTTTTAATTGGGTGGCTAGAAGGAAGAGAAAATAGATTTCTGTTAAGTTTATTTTTGTTGTTGTTGTTTTGGTGAGGCAATTGGGGTTAAGTGACCTCCCCAGAGTCACACAGCTAGTGAGTGTTATGTGTCTGAGGCCGAATTTGAACTCAGATCCTCCTGACTTCAAGGTCAGTGCTCTATCCACTGCACCACCTAGCTGCCCTGTTAAGTTTTTTTAATAGAGATGTGAAGTTAATACTGGTATGGAATGTTGCATGTATTTTCAGATAAAGTCACCATATTATTAACTCTCAACTTTTTTACTTTGTTACAAGAGATTTTTCATGAAGTGAGAATAATCTGTAAACATTTGTAGTATAAAAACAAATAAATCAAATAAAACAAAACAAAACAAAACAAAACAAGAAATGTAACAGGATGATCAATTAGTAGTCCTTGATCAATCTGAAGTAGTTCAAAGGTACTAATGAAAGCAATGCTACTTTGATTCCTTCTCTGAATTCAAGATATTCCCTAACTTCAACCTAAGCCTATAGTAACAAAATGACATTGGCATGTGTTACAAACACTTTACAGAATCCTGATACGTATACCTGTTAAATAAAAGTTTATGGAAGTAAACTGTGCTCCATAATATTCCATATTTGAAAAGAGCTTCTAGATACCATATAATGACAATTATATAGGTCAATCTCTTCACTGGTAAAATGAAGTGGTTCTAAAACACTTCCAGCTAAAATAATAACAATAATGACAGCTATTACTTACATAGCATTTTAAGATTTATAAAGCTTTTTACCTCTATTTGCTCTCAACAGAGCCCTGTGAGATAGACGCTACTGTCTACATCTTACAGACAAGAAAACTAAGGTTGAAGGAGGGCTGACCTACTCAGATTTATAGTTAGTTAAGTGTATAAGGCAGGATTCAAACTTACTTCTTCCTTATTCTAAGATCAGCACTCTCTCTACTATGTCACCTCACTACCTCTATTGTCAATAGTTCTAATTCTAGGCAAAACATAATCCTAATCGCAGATAAAACTTTATTGTGGCTATCCATGATTATCACATTTTAAGTTTGCAAAGTATAAATTGGTGATTTACCACTGCCACCTATAGACTATAAATCATGATTACTACCTAAAAGCATTATATAAATGTGAACTATTATTACTGATTCACATTCAAAAGGGCAGAATGACTCATTAATCATACTGCAACACTGTAATTCAATAAATATTTATAAAATGACTATTTTGCACAAAGTGCTGTGCAAAATGCTTAAATGAAATAGAAAGTTTAAATAAGCCATGTTCCCTGCTCTCTTGGGGTTTACAGTCTAGTAGGAAGGGAAAGGCAAGGTGGACAGCACATATACAAATAACGATGGTATTTAATAATACATCATATTAAGTACACAAAAAACAAGCAAAATGCTATGTTAGGTATAAAAAGTGAAAGGACATTGCTAACAGGGAAACTGGGCTCTAATTCACAAATATATGGAGGGGAGAATGCTACAGCAAAAGGATTTCTAGGAGGAAAGACTGTAAAGGCAGATAGTAAACTATACAATGAAGGGCATATGACCCAGTTTGGTTGGAGCGGAAAGTATACAGAAGGGAGCAGTATGAGGTCTGGATGGAAAACAAGAAGAGTTCAAATTGTAAAGGATCTTGAACATCAGCCAAAGGAGTTGGGCCTTTGGTATGGGGTATGAGGCTCTATAGAAACTGTTGGGAGGGCAGTGGGGGGGACGTCATAGGCTTATAGGGTCATGACTTATATCTGAAAGAAACAAAGTGGTAATCTTAGCTAACTCACTCATTTTAGAGATGGGAAAATGGAGAGCCAGAGAAAGTGAGGGATTTGCTCAAGAGCTCTTCATCAGTTAATGGATTTGTAATCTCCACATTGTCAATGTTTCCTTCAGTGAAGCAGATTACAACCTGTCTGTAATTGTTCATGTAGTGCAACTCTCAACTAATTCCCATCAATTCACCATTGGCAGTACAAAAACCAAAGACCTCCTGCCTTCTACTTGAAGGAGGGGCAACTGTTACACTGATAAGTTAGGTATAGGGACTGGATCTATGATTTCACTGGTAAAGAAACTTCTGGATAGGGAAACTCCTTTTACTAATACAGATTGGCACCTTCTATGCAACTTAAAGAGTGTCAGACTTGACTAGAGAGAGACTTGACTAGACCATTACTGAAAGGCTCATACACAGTGCTTCTTAAACCGTGGGTCATATCCCCACATGGGGTCGCAAAAAATTTGGCAACAGTAAAAGGTTTTTGAATGCACAAGAACGAAAAATTAATTCAAAATCAAATGCGTACTGAATCTGAGGTGTTTCTGGCAGCACTTGCCTGTGCCGCATTGCACAACTTTACAGCAGCCTTAGTTCTGAAAACAAAGCATGCACACTTTGCACTGCACATGCCCTCAAGCTACACAACACCAAGAAAGCCCCCAAAACACCAAAGTACCCCCTTAGGATCTTGGGACTGAAGGTGAGAAGGACACTGTTCTCCCCACCTCAACCCCCACTTCCACTACTCCTAATGGTATTTCTCCTGTATCAGTATCTCTCCATACTGTTCCCTGAAATAAAAATAAAAACAAAAGTTGGGTGAACAAGTTGTATAACTTAGACTGGATGGAAGAATATGGGGTAATCATGTGAACTCTGAGACATGTAGTGGCTTTAAAATATCACAATTTTTTTTCTCAAAAACTCAACAACAAGAGGACAAACAAGTAATACTACAGTCAGGAAAAAAAAAAGGAGGTGCAAAAAGGTTAATCAGGTTAACAAAACTACCTTTTCACAAAATATCAGAGCTGGAAATCAGTGGCAGTCAATGAACAGAAACAAGCTTTTCTTGGTCTATTCATCAAGACAGATTTATTACAGAACATATTTTATGCAAATATTTAGAATCAAAACTTGTATTCAAGCAAAGAATTTAATGAACTAGGATGAAGTAACCATTATGAGGAATAAAAGAAAAGAAAAACAAATGAGTCTCCTACCTCCACCACATAAAAGAATCAAGGTCGAGGGCTTTTTATAACTCATTAAAAAAATCATTCTAACGGTACTTTCGAGTCTTATTTGGAGGAGAAAAATTGCCATAGGAATAAACATTCCTTTCTCTATCCTTAAAACCAAATGGAATGAAGGTTTAAGGGAGATGGGGGAGCCTTGCCACCTTTTTCACTTCAGTTTCTTTCACCCTTGTCCATCCTGATATATGATGAGAAAGAGAAACAAATGGTTTTTATGGAGTATGGGGTTGCTGGAGAGGGAATGTTCTAGAGTTTTCTGTCTGCTTTGCTCTGATTCTATGGATTCATAATTAATATAATGGTGAGTTTTAGAATTATTATATTTGTCTTATTTAAACTTCATCTCTTCCAGGGGCAGCTAGGTGGCGCAGTAGATAGAGCACTAGCCCCGGAATCAGGAGGACCTGAGTTCAAATCTGATATCAGACCAGACACTTGACACCTACTAGCTGTGTGACTCTGGGCAATCACTTAACCTGGACTGCCTCACCAAAAAAACAAAAAACAAAAAACAAAAAAAAAACCACCTCCATCTCTTCCACCAGCTAGCACAATGCTCTATAAAATGTATGCATCAGTTGGATGTGAACATGAAAGGCAAACACTAAAAATAATGCAGTCATTACAGAAGTACGATGGATCTTGCTTCTACATACTAACATCACAAATCTTAACAATAATTTCCCTCTGGAAAAGGTCAAAATCTAAAAATACAAAAAGCCTTAAGAGAAACATTCATTTATTTTTCATCATTAGTAAAAGTAAGAAAAAAAGAGATATAACTGTTACCTTGGCAGTAAAAGTGAAAGTAAAACAAAGATTTTCTGTGTGGCATTTCAACTCTGAAACATCAAAGTATGTCTAACACAACATACCTTTAGCAAGCACAACAGGCTTGACAGCCATTCTGCCAACAAGACATTCTTTCAGCATAGATTCATAATTGACCCAACGATGTACCTGAAAAGGGAAAGAATCAGTACAAAGAAAACATACTTATAAGACCTCATTTTAAATGAGCACACGATCTAATATATCCAATCAACTAAGAATTTTCACCAAATAATTTAAATGCTGATTCCATCAAAGAAAATGAATGGAGAGATGAGGGATGGGAAAAAAGAAAGAAGATTTTCACTTGAAAGTAATATTTTTCTAAGACAGCACTGTCTTTGAAATAATATTTCTATACATAGTGAAAATGTTAAACAGCTAAGTGTATCAACTTAGCTTTTTGAATCGTAGATTTTTTTTTAAATCAAGTACATTACAATGCTCCATAAATGAATCCTTCCAATCCAGAACGGGAAACAAATTTGACATTGATATGGATTTCATCAACAAAACAGAAAATATTAGAACTATTTCCTAGGATTAAAGTAAAGCTTTTTAATAAAACTTATTAATCAATTAAAGGCTTACTTTTACTAAAGAAAGATGAAATGAAGATTTATGAAACTTAACAAGATATCTTTTCCCTAGTTTTCTCAAGGACTATTCTCCATGAAAATTCTAATCAGCATATGTTTATCTGACATTCATTTATTAATTTAAACATCATGATGATAAAACTGGGCATAATCCTTGGTAAGGTAAAATTAAAAGTTCATAATTATAAGATGAAAAATCAGAGGTTCAAGACCATCACTTCATAAAACAATAAAGTTGCCGAGAGCAGTACTAAGGTAGCATTAAAATAAGAATTAAAAAACAAGCAGATTTGTAGACCCCTTGAGATCTGCAGCATAGATAACAACAATGGAGTTACTAATCTTTATGCAAACACTTAAATAAATGACCCTGTAGTACCACAGTTAGTTTATCACGCTCTCAAAATTCTCTGCTCTGGGCTACCAATCAGCACATTAAGGTGACCTCTCCAGTGAGTTTTGTTTCTACTTTTGTTTTGCTTTGTTTTTTCCTATGACTGGCCTCCAGTTTTCTTAAAGATGGTTGCACAGCAACCTATCTTTTGACTACTAACAGCACAAACTAAGTATCATTGTTAAGTCTAAAAGAGCTGCTTGCAGCATTCCCCCTACCCTAGGGCTCTGAAGTGCTTTAAAGAAGCAGAGTTTCATACAGGTGTAAGAACATAGAGAGTTATTTACTCCTATGGTGAATGAAACTGATGAAGAACTTAAACCTCAATAGTCTTGTTAGTCAAATAGAATGCAATAGTCTAGCAAATGAAGATGTGGTTTGAATTGCTAAAAATGGTAACTGTAATAGCAGTTTTAGTGGCTCCTGCAAAACAGCTTCCTTTATCTAGTACAGTTCAAAGAAACAAACGTCTTACAATATTAGGGTGTAAGATTCTTTTGTTGTGCTCTGGAATTTTTGGATCATTTTGCAGCATTCTTCCAGTAGAAAGTATGAGCAGTATGTCTTGAAGGTATTCAGTAAGAAGCTCAAAAAAAATAGATGTATAAACAAAGTAAACCATACATAGAAATTTTCAAGTTCTCGGCAATGTTTAACAAAGTCCCCTACTCGGTTTGCATCCCTAGCTATCAACAAGTCAAATGCCACCTGGAAACATTCCTAATAAGCTCATAAGAGTTTCTCTCAAGAGAATGGTATCAAGATTAATGTGCAGCTGTGGTTTCTCTCCAGTCCAAGAAGGATATTAATAATTCCCAGTCCTAGAATTTGTTGGAGATCAAAAAGGTCCTGCCAGCCAGTCAATGAACAACATCCTCTAGCTGTAACGAATTTCTAAATGAAAAATAGTCTCAGTTATCTAAATATGTGATAAACTAAAAAACAAAAAAGGATAAAACCAGAAAATTCTACATCCACAAGTAATTACATAGATTTGTCTCTCTAAATTTAAATGTTTTTCTTTAAAAAATGGCCAAAGTCAGCAAGATGCCACTAAAGATTAACCATTACCAAAACAGTAATTAGGTATAATTTAACTAAATAAAAGCTAGGCTATATTTGGTTGACTGGCCCCAGAGGAACAAGTAAAAAATAAATCCTAATTATAATAGCAAAAGAAAATAAGAGAGGAAAAACAGATAAACTAAACTTAAACAAAAAAAACAAACTATAACAGCCTTTAAAAAATTAACTCAGCTATCTCTCTTAATAACAAGAAAACACTGTAACAAAGATAAATCACTACTATCACAAGACTATGTACAAAGCAAATGTAAGAAAAGCAGCTTTCTACAATATATTTTTTTCCAAGAACTGGACCATAGGATCTGATGCTAAGAAGGGATCATAGAGAAAAGCCATTTCATCATACTGACATTAACTAACCTCAAGACCTTAAAATAGTCTGATTTCTTTTTCAATGCATACATCTCTCCCAAGGTTTTTCTCTGTTCTCTATGTGGACTGGTAGAAATAGTTTATGAAAGAGTATTTTTATTATTTTTTGAGGTATGCAGACAGAATTCCATTTCCCTCAGAAATACTTTTAAATTTTCTAGTAGGCATCCACCTCATTAGACTCCAAATTTAAGAGTCCTCTTCAATCACAATATTCCATTACTTTTAGCATCTTACCTGATCAAAAAGGTCTGTACCATCTGAGCCTGCTGCTCGCATAAGTTCATCCTCCCCACCTGGGTGATACTCCATATATGGACTAACATTATAAACAAGTCCTGCATTAACACAAAAAGAAATATCATAAATCAACTGATTTAAAAGTTAGTAAAATAAGGTACTCTGAAAGGCTCATTTAAAAAAAATCATAATTTATTATCTTGATAACTTCAAGAAAGTATATGATGAAAAATGCCTACTTTTAATTTCCTAATAAATGTACTGACTCCAATGTCTGAAAGACATTTGAAAAAGAAAGGAACAAATAGCAATACAACATATTCATCAATATATTCACTCTTTACCTTCTGCCATCATACTAGGCTATAAAAGGCTAGTAACAAGAATTAAACTCTCTCCCTTAAGTGTATGGCAACACTGCAGACACAAGGTTCTGTCCTAAGCCCTCTTTTCTTCTCTCTTCACACTCTCACTGACTTTAAAGCTTCCATGATTTTAACTGTCACCTCTATGTAGATGACTCCCTTATCTATAGGTCCAGTCCCAGTATCTCCCCTGAAATGTAGTACATCACCAATTATTACTGGACATTTCAAACTGGATATAAACTAAACATGGCCAAAACTGAACTTGCAAGCTTTCTCTCCAAACCCTCTCCTTTTCCAAACTTCCCTTTTCCTGCCAAAGGCACCAACCACCATCCTTGCAGTCTCCCAGGCTTGAACCTTGGCATTGTCCCTGACTCTTCACTCTCCCTTACTCTATATATCTAATCAATTGCTAATCTCACAGTTTCTACCTCCACAATACCTCTGGAATCCAACCTCTTCTCTCTACTCACATACTTTATTTCAGATCCTCATAATCTCTTGCCTAGATTACTGTACTATCTTCCTAATTGGTTTTCCTGTCTCAGGTCTTTATAATAATTCTCTTTATTCTGTATATACATATTTATATGTTTGTTTTATTCCCCATCAGAAATAAACTTCTCGTGAGAAGTGATTGCTTGATTCTTTGTACATGTATTCCCAGAGCCTAACATAATGCCTAGCATAAAAGTAGAAGCTTAATTTTTATTAATTAATAAATTTAATTAGCTAATTTCATTAAATTATTTATTTGATTGCCCTTACAAGGTATACCAACAGTGCAGAGGAAAAAATGAATTATTTACCAAAATGACAATGAACCCCAGCTCTCAGAGAGAAACAAAGTCCATCAGCAGCATTAAATAAGAGGCCTCAGCATCCTAAACCACTGTGATCTTATAATTTTGCCTTGCATTACTATCTCCTACTTTCAGGAAAAATTTCACTGAATTTGATTATCTATATTCATATTATTTCTCCTCAATGAGATGTGGGCTCCTTGAGGACAGGAATTAATTGGGAATCCACTGCCTGGTATAAGCACTTCATGAATGTTTGTTGAAAGCAGAGAAGGGAAAAAACCAGTTCAGTAGTATGTAATCACGACAAGCAAACTTGGCCCTGGAATTAAGGTAAAAAAATGCATCTTCCTCCTTTGAGTTGAGAAGTAAGGGGAAACTGGGTCCCCATGCCTATCCTTACTAGTATATCCTAACCCATGTTGCTGATGTACAGTATTGTATACACTGTCAAATGTGATCACTATACTGGTTGATTTCGTTCAACTGTTTTATTTTGTTATAAGAGAAGGCTCACTGGTGTAGTATATTAAAAACAAAAAGTATTAAGAACACTTTTTTTTAAAAAAAGAAAAAATTATATGCTTAATATGACTCTCTACTTTGTTCAATTAGTCATATTCTAAAATTGTTTCTTAATAAAACTCTGACTCCAATGCCTCATGGCAGAATGAAGGTGATCATAACTAATCAAAAGCTATGATAGAGTTTGTACTCTTAACAAATGGTATCAAACCAGAAAGGTTTCAAATGCAAATACAAGCCTGGTGCTAGTCCATATGTCTCTTGCCTAAGTTCAGAAAGACTTATCAGCAGTCTGAATGAAGGTAAATGAATTTTTTAAGCACAGCAACCCTCAAAAATTGTCAATTACATCATGGAGTATGTCTTCTTCGATAAAGAAACTACCTATATTAATAAAAATCACAGATCCTTGAAGTATTTATTTTTTAAAAATTGGATCTGTGACATCAGCAGTTTAATGAGCTCCAAACAAAGAATTCTCTCTCCTAAAGCAGACTGGCACCTGCTTTGCAACTTAACAGTTTTAGGTGTATTTCCTGTAGATAACATATTGTTGAGTCTGTCTACTAATCCATTTCACAACTCTATTTGCTTTTAAAAGTAAATTCAATCCATTTATGTTTCAAGCTATAATTATTCATTTTTATTTTCCCTTCATGAGAAAAGCTAATTTTTCAATGTTGCCTGAGATTTCATTCTTTCGGAAAGAAAAAAAATTGAAGTGGTCAGGGTTTCTGACCTCACAGCCAAACCTTAATGAGATAAGCAACTCTTTATAGCAAAAGATCAGAAGTGATGACTCAATATTTATAAGCTATTGCTACTATAAAAGGCTATTGCTTCTGAAGTCCCACTTTGTATGAGTCACTAAGAAAATGAAGGACTATGAATTAAAGGGAGACTGGAAGGAAAGAGTAGAGAAGGAATAAATTATTTCTTTAAATCTAACCAATAAAAGAAGTGAAGAGACTGAGGTGAAACCATAAGTCTAAAATAATACTCTTATCTACACCACACAAGAAAATGTAAAACAGATTATATCATTAAAATATAATCCCAAGATTTCTGTTTGGTATGAGAGGAAGAGAGAAAATCTTATGTTCCTGTGAATGCAAGGAAATTAAGATTAGGCTGTTACCATCAATTAACTTGCTGATAATAGGGTATGATGGAAAGAAAACAAAAATTAACTATTACAATTTTTAAACATAAATGGACTAAAACCATTCAAAAAAAAGAACAGAGCTGCAAACTGGATTAGCAAATAGAAGTATAACAATATGCCATCTACAGGGAATACATCTAAAGGATAACGATTCATACAGCTTAATGGGGGGGGAGGGAAGGGAGGTGTTTCCAAAACAAGACATATAGTTATGATTTAAGATAAGGCTATGGTAAAAAAAAAAAATAGATACCTTCAAAATACATACAAAAAGAGAACCTATATTATTTTTAAAGACATCACAGGTATGGGAATAGTATTAATACTGTATATATGTAACAAATGACACAGTAAGTACTTAGGTACGCTAACTAGAATACCAAAAAAAACCTACTACTGATAAACAATGATAATGATGACGATGACAACGATATTATTTATATAGGGGCTTAAGGTTGCAAAACATTTTACAGATAGTATTTCAACTGATCCTCACAAAAATCCCGTGGGGTAAGTGCTATTATTGTTATACACATCTGGCAGATGAGGAAACTTAAGACTGTAGGAGAGGTAATATGCTTCTTTTGGAACTTCATAAATATATCATAAAGATAAACAAGAAGGAAATTACAGACATGAACAAAATGCTGAAAAAATTGGATTTGATAGGCCTGTGGAGACTAGTGAATGGACATGTTATAGACCAGATTTATCTGGGGAGATCTGTGGGATATTTACGATAGGGCATTTAAAAACAACAACAACATAAAAATAAAACAGCAGAAGTCCTATATGCATTCATTATAGACTAAAATTTGATTTAAAAAAAAGTAACTCAATGAAAGAAATATGAACAAAAGATGAAAATCTAAATGGAGATTAGATATTATATCCTTAATATGATCAGTTTGGAGACAACTTAAAACAATAAAAAAAATATATTGAAGAGAATAGAGAATGACGGTGACAGGACATACTAAAAATTCACAGTTGAAACTACAGCAGTCTTTAAAGGCAAATTTATGTTATTTAGTATTAATATTTACAGAGAGTATTAATAAAATAAGCAGCCAATTTTTAAAAGTAGAGAAGCAAATTAATAATCCCAAGCAAGCTCAAAAGGCCATTTTAAATGAAAACAAAACCAAGACCGATGCATTAGCTAATTTGATGCTTCTTTGTTTTGTTTTTTAAAAGGAGGACAACAAAGTTAAAGAATAAAAGTTTTTAAAAAGCAAATTCATAATGAAGGGAAAAATAAATGACTATTTTTTCTAAAAACTACCATACCTAATTACATGGTGACCTAAAAACCTACATGAAAATTCGGGAAAAAAGCTAGGTCTACAAAAAGAATACTCCAACAAATCAAAAGGGCTCTCCATCTGTTAGCCCTCATTCTCACTATAAGTCCAGCCCACTTCTTTTTCCAGCAATACATCTCTTGGACTATATCATTTGAAAACTGTTTTGTTATTCTGGACTTGATGAAAACAGACAAACATGATTATTTCTACACAAAGCAGAACAAGAAAAAAAGAAACTGCAAATATAGCTAATTTGTATATGTAGCTTATTTTAAAAATGTATACTCAATTCTGCATGCTAGTTCCAAAGCTGTCTCCCTTGTCTGCTGCCCTCTGATTCTCTTTCTAATCTCTTCTTGTGCATTTTCTTCATTGATACTCTTTTCTCCTTTTTGCAGTACACCACTATCACTAGCTTTTTTTTCTCTGTCTCTGCCTCTTACACACACATACACACACACCCTTTCACTTGTAACAAGCTAACATAATCAAATGAAATCAATGGTCATGCCTGAAAATCTATTTTATCTGCATATCTAATCCATCTCCTACTTGAAGAGGTAAGAAATATGCTTTGTCATTAGTCCTCTGGAGTCATCATTAATCAGAGTTAAGTCTTTCAAGGTTACATTGTGGTACTCATTTTGTAAATTCTTCTGCTTCTGCTTACTTCACCTCTTCATTAGTTCATAAAAGTTTTCCCAGGTTTCTATGTTCTTACAGAACAGTAACACTCTATTATATTCATAGACCAAAATGTGTTTAGCCATTATCCAATTGATGGGCACCCTCTAGTTTACAGTTATTTGCAAAAATAAAAAGTACTACTATAAATATTTTTCTACATATGGGTCCTTTCTCTCTGCCTTTGATTTCTTCAGGGTATGTATGTATCTAGTTGTGGTATCACCAAGTTCAAGGTTGTACAAA